CCGTTAGTGAGAGTTCAAACACAAAACGCCCGTCGTGAACGCACCCGGCGTGTCCTCCCCGCTCTCCCCTTTCTCTCGGGGGCGGCCAGGATGGGGGTGATGACTGGGGGGGAGATCATGCCAGGGGCCATGACGTCTCCCCAGATCTCATGGCGCCTCTTCTTACTTCCGTGCGTCCCCGGCCCCGCCCCTGGGCCGCGCACGTGCCACCGGCCATGATTTGCGCCCCCCCCTCACATTGGGACGCCCCCCCCTCTGGGACGCCCCCCCCCCTCTTGGGACGCCCCCCTCTGGGACGCCCCCGACTCTCTCTCTCTCTCTCTCTCTCTCTCTCTTTATCTCTCTCTTTCTCTCTCTCTCTCTCTCTCTCTCTCTCTCTCTCTCTGTCCGAGCATCCCCCGTTTCGGCTCCGCGGCGGAGGCGCGCGGAAGGCTCCCCGCGCCGGGGGGGGGCCCGGGACGCGGGCCCTTGGGCTGGGCAGGCGCGCGCCCTCGCGTGCCAGGGTGCTGCCCGCTCTGCCCTCGCAGCCTTCGGCCGGGGTTGGTGGTCTCCAATCGGGCGGGGAGAACTATGCACATGCACCGATCCTGGCAAGGCCCATCCTTGACCCAGGATCGGTGCATATGCCTTCCTGGCCAAGGTAGGAGGGCGTATGCACCGATCCTGGCTCAGGATGGGCCTGGCCAGAATCAGTGTATGTGCATAGTTCTTTTTCCTCTATCCAAACCAGGTGGTGAGACACCCGGTGGTGACCCCGATTCCCCAAAGGAATAATTCTGGGTCGCCACCGGGTTTGGGGACACGCGGTCGCCACGAGGTTTTGCGCTTCCTGGGCCAGCCGGCGCTCGAAAACCATGACCCGAATCGCCCAAGACTCACCACTGGGTGTTCTCACCACCACATTTGGGGACCACCAACTGGGGGGGGCCATCGCCAGCCCCTGCGCCGTCCGAGCACGACGCGGGACGAGGAGCCAGCCCCCGGAGAGGGGGGTCGGGGCTTCCGAAAGCGCTCGGGTCGCAGGGGGCACGGGACATCGGATGCCTGAGCACGGAGGTGTACGAAGCCTGATCCTGCGCGGGGTCTGTTCAGGATATCTCATGTCGCCAACATCGCACAGCGGATTTCGTCCGGAAGACGACAGGATGGGCCCAGAATGTCCAGGACATTATGTCCTGGAGGATTTCGTTCCAGATTTCGCAGTGAATGTCGTGCGGCTTGTTTTTGGGCAGGAATGACGACCCCAGAAATCCACGCGAAATTCACTTCGTTTTTCGCTCGCCGCTTCGAGAAAAAATCCGCGCAGACATCCACGCAAAAATCCGCTACAGCGCGTCTGCAAGGCCGGTGCAACGAGATACCGGGGGGATCTCATTTGTTCTGTACAGCCAACGCGCCCAGTAAGGACGCGCGCCTTCATCTAGGGTATCCTGGTGCCCTCGCCTCTGCGGCCCGTCCTCTGCCGTGTTCGCTGGTCGCCCGCCCGCTGCCCCACAAATCCCAATGTTTCGGCCTCCAAGGGCGAAATCCAAATCCAAAAATTCAAGTCCAAAATTTGTCACTCCCATTCCAAACCTAGATTCCAAAAAAACCCAAAATCCAAATCCAAAATTCACTGGTCGCCCGCTGCCCCAAAAACCCAAACCCAGATCCAAGAATTCAAAGTCTTCGTCCTCGCCACCCGCCCTCGATCATTACACGTGCTGACTCCAGCGCGCGTGGACAGGCCAGGACCGATCGTGGGCGGGCGCTGCGCAGAGGCCGCCCTGGGCGTCCAAGGCCCGTGGTTCACCGAGATCGCCTGCGGGCGCAAGACCGTCGAGGGGCGCGTCGGCCCCTCTGGGAAGCACGACGCGGTCCCGGGAGCGGAGGTTGCCACCAGCCGTGGCGGGGGCCCTTGCGCTCCAGGCTCGCGTCGTGACCGTCCGCCACTTGCAGGACGCTCGAGGAGCATTCGGAAGCGCCGCCGCGCGGATCGGCCACTGCGCTCCGCGAGCGCCAGGGGCGGGGGGGAGGGAGGCTCGACGGCGCCTCTTGAGACTCGACGTGGAGGGATCGAGCCAGGCAGAGGCGGGGCAAGCCCAGACACGTCAGCGCAGGTCCTGAGGAGGCCCGTGACGACCCACGGATGTCCAACCAGCACCTGCAGCAGTCCTGGAAGCTCCAGGGCGAGCCGGAGGAGCGGCATGAGGCGCTGCGGTCGGAAGCTGCTGCTTGGCGTGCCGCCCTGCCGGTCCTGGCCCACCGCGCCTCGGCGCGAAAGGCGCCGGCCGCGCCCCGATCCCCGAGAGGCAGCGCCCCGAGCGAGCCTCCCGCCCCGCGGAGCGGAACGACCTGCTGCTCGCCTGCAGGGCACAACGCGTCAATGGAGCCGCAGCCGCAGCACTGTTTGCGTCGCGGCCACAGGCGGAGGCGCCGGCGGCGTCACAGGTCGGGTCGGGCCACGAGCAGAACTAAGTGACCCAGCGCGCGCACGGGCAGCTCGGGGCTACCGCCGCCGCAGCCGCAGCACGCTGAGCAACAACACATGGTTCCACGGGACGTCCTGCCCCGCGTCTATTTTTCCTCTGGGCGCCATCCTCTGCCCAGAGGGCACGACGCGCATGGACTTCTTGCCAAAAGACGAGCGCGTTTGGGGCTCGGTGCGCCGGCGGGCCCGCACGGTCGCTGCGCAAGGGGCGAAGCCAGAGCAACAACTGCACGTGCCATTGCCAGAAATTCCCCTCCAGCCCCGAACCCTCTTCGTCTGCGGGCATCCCCCGTGTAGGGGGCGACTTGGTTGCGCCAGCTCCTGGGTCAATCCCGACGGGGAAGAGAGGCAGACCGGGCGGGCGGACCCGAACAGGCGGGTCGGGCGGGCGGGCCCCGACGGGTGGGGCGGGCGGGCGGGCCCGAGCAGGCGCGCCGGGCGGGCGGGACACTGAGGCTGGCGGGCAGTCTTCCGAGCAAGCGAACGAGCAGATCCTGACGGGCGGGCGGGACATCAAAGCGACAGGACTGGGCGGACGGACCCTAACGGGCGGGTCGGGCGGGCGGGGCACTAAAACGATTGGGTTCAAAGTAAGCAAACGGGCCAACCTAACGGGCGAGTCGGGCGGGCGGATCCCAACGGGCATTTCACGCGGGTGGACCCTGACGGGCGGGCCGGGTGGGCGTGGCATTAATGCGCGAGTTTTGAGAAGATCGTGAGGAAGTCCCAGGTGGGAGCGCGAGCGCTACACAAATGTGGAAGGAAGTCCTGGGCGGAAGCGTAAGCCCTGATTGGCGAGAACGCGATTCTTCAATAAGTCGTCAGGATGTTCCAGGCCAGAGCGCGATTCCTGAGCGGCGAGAGTGCAGCTATTAATTGAACGTTGAGGAAATCTCAGACGGGAGCCGTTGCTGTTGTAGTAGTATGGGAGACCAGAAACGCACTTTGGGCCTGAAAGCTCTTCCTTGCTAAGTTACCGGCCCCGGGAGCCGAAGCGGGCCCCACCTGTTGGAAGAGCACCTGTGGGCACAGGAGGGAGGGCAGCAGCAGTAATGGTTCTTCAGAAGTGGGCGCTCAACGACAGCAGCAGCCCCCACCTCCATCCCCCCCACCCGCCAACCCCCAGCAAGCTCGAGGGCACGCAAGCCGCGCCGCAAGCGCGGTGGCGGGCATCCAGGCCGAGGCGTGGGCACAGAGGGGGCCCCACGCGGGCAGCGACGAGAGGGCGGCCGAGCCCTGCGCCGCGACTGGCATGCCCGATCCTCGGCGGCTGCAGCAGGGGTGGCTAGCCCAGGAGGGAGCGCACTGCACGCATCCAGAGGCTCCGATCGCCCACGCCTGCGGCGAGGCTCCCCTGCGAATGCCTCCCACGCCCGCCCCGACGACGACGGCAACAACAGCAACAACGACGACGACGACGACGACGACGACGACGACGACGACGACGACGACGACGACGACGACGACTACGACGACGACCACGACCACGACGACGACGACCACGACCACGACCACGACGACCACGACGACCACGACGACCGCGACGACGACCACGACGACCACGACGACCACGACGACCACGACGACCGCGACGACCGCGACGACCGCGACGACCGCGACGAGCGCGACGACGACGACGACGACGCATGGGCTATCCGCCACCCGTGCCTCCGCCGAGATCCCGAGAGGGAAGGCTGCAGGGCTCCCGCCCCCGAGCGCGCCGCCGCCCCGCGGGGGCGCCCGCGCCAGAGGAGCCCGCCCCGGGGAAGGGGTCCAGACCTCCGGGGGTCGACGCTGTGCAGCAGTCACGACGTCGGGGGCCCGGGGCCGCGGCCCAGGCGAGGAGAGGCGCACGCCGCTCCGCGCCGGAGCCGCCCAGTCCCGGCGGGTGGCGGCGCGAGAGGCCGAGGGCCAGCCGAGGGCGCACGGCCGTCGGCAGGGTCCCGAGGTTTGGAGGGGCGCTCCGCGCGGGAGTCTGCTTCGTGAAAGTACGAGCGCCCGCTTCGTGAAAGCACGAGCGGGAGCGGCAACGGGAGCGGCAGATGTCGTGGGCGGCCAAGAGGGAGGTGATGACTAGGGGGGGGGGGATTGATGTCGTGGCGGGGGCCATGATATCTCCCCAGATTTCGTGGCGCCTCTTCCTTCTTCAATACGTCCCCGGCAGCCTCCTAGGCCGCGCACATGCTTCGGGCCACGATTTGCACACACACACACACACACACACCCCTCTTGGACGCCCCCGAAGAAGCCGCAGCAGCAACAATCCCAGCAACATCAGTGGCAACAGCAGTCGCACCAGCAGCAGGGTACGGCGCAGGAGTGGCAGCGGTAGCAGGGCGAAGGGGTCGGGTTCAGCAGCCAGGCCGAACGAGTCAGTCGGGGTGGGTTTGCAGGGGCTGTGCGAGAGAACCCCCAGCCTGCAGACCACGACCACGACCACGACGGCGGCGAAGGCGACGGCGGCGACGACAGCGACGTCGGTCGTCGTCGTTCTCGTCGTCGTCGTGGCCTCCGCCCGCGAGCCGCGCAGGGAAGCCTGCTCGTGGAGCCCGCGTCCCTGGCCGCGGCGCGGTGAGTGCACGTCCCGGTGCCCCGCGACCTCGAGGGCGAGCCCCGCTGCCGCGTGCCCGCCTCGCGGAATCTCGTGCACTGCGCGTCCTCCTATCGCCGAGCGCGCTCCACGACTCGCCGAGTGCACACTCGCAAACGTCCGAGCAACCCAGGCCTTCCTCTACGCAGCGTACGTGAATCCTCCGCGGCGGCTCCAGGCCAGTTGCGAGCAGTTCATCTGCGAGTATAGTGGGACGCGCTCGTCCGTCCTCGCCGACGGGGCGGGGCGGCTCCTGGGGCGCTCTTGGATCGGCCCTGCGCAAGAGTGGCCCCTCGCTGGCGCGGCCCCCGGTGCGGGCCAGCAGGCATCCCCCCGGCAGGGGCCCGCGCGCGCGGACACCCGGCGCCCCCGCGGATCCCCGAGGCCGCGCACCAGAGGCCGCTCTTGCCCCGGGGTCGCTCTTTGCGTGTAGGCGTCGGGGCTCGAGAGACGGGGGTCTTCGATGCTCGTTTCGGGGACCTTCCTGGAGCCCACCTAACGGATCTGTTCGACCCCAGTTCGACTCAAGTTCGACTCAAGTTCGACGCAGCTTCGACGCACGAGTGGAGCGAGTGGCTCCAGGAAGGTCCCCAGAACGAGCATCCAGGGGGTCAGTGCAAGCGGGGGTCAGCCAGAGCGCTGGACCTTGCAGGATCCTGCAGGGCCAGGGTCGCACCGGCCCGGGGGTTGGGCGCAGGGTCCTGCAGGATCTTTCAGGGTCCTTCGCATTGACCCGGGCTTGGGTGCAGGGTCTTGCAGGCTCTTGCAGGATTCTGCAAGGCCTGACTGACCCGGGTCTGGATTGACCCGGGTCAGAAGATCCCCGATAGGCGGCCGGGAGCGCTGCGCGCATGGCCCATGTTGTTCCTCGAGGGCCAGCTCAGCCCTCAGCGCCCGCGCGGACCCCGAACAGTGCACTGGCGGCGGGCGCCGCTGCGGCGCAGCACAAGGCAGCGCGAAGCGATTGGCTTGGGCAAGGCACGTGGTAGAATGCGGGGCAGCACAAGCAGCATGAAGCTTGGAAGTCAAGGTACGCGGTGCGCCGTTGGGCGGTCAGGTGCTCAGTTGGGGCATCATGTGCTTCACTAGCTGAAACCACGGCTCCTTGCAGGTCTTCCTGCGGGCCCTGCAAGGTCAATTTCGATTCGATCTACCGATCCGGCATCTGTTTCGGCTGGATCGCTCCGATTCGATTCCGATATTCTGACGATCCGATGCGGCCCGATGATTGTACTGTGCTGTTGTGCATTCTGGCGCGGCCGATGCGGTTCGACTTCGACTCCGTGCCGATGCAGCCCGATCCGGCGCGCATTCCGATTCGACCCGCTTTCCCGTTCGGTGTTGACGGTTCTTCCCCTTTGACCGATCCCTGCTTCGCCGTGGGCGCCGGCGGCAGAACATCGCAGCAGGCAAGGCGTGCGAGGCCCAGGACCCTGCACGCGGCGACCCAGAGAACGCCGCAGGCGCAGCAAGCGGGCCCCGGGGACCCGACGGGCCGGCATCCCGACTTCGCGGCAGGCAGTGTGACAACCAATGGCCCAGGCAATGTTAGCCAGCGTGGTCCCCAAACAGGAAGGAATTGCATGGTGGTTGTGCAAGTCGTGTGTGGTGCAAGCTACGTGATGCAAGCTGCGCGGTGCAGCAGGCGTGGTGCACGCAAAAGGGCGGCAACGAGGCGGCAACGGGCGGCAGCGTGGCGAAGCCTCGCCAGAGCCACCCAGCGCACGAGGCGGCACTGGGCGGCAGCGTGGCGAAGCTTCGCTGGACCCACCCGGCGCACGAGGCGGCAACGGGCGGCAACATCGCCTGGCCCACCCAGCGCACCGGGCGGCAACGGGCGGCGATGCGGCGAGACCTCGCCGGACCCGTCGAGTTCCGAGTCAACCGAAGCGAGAACTCCTTGGTGCAAGCACGGTTCGGGGAAGTAGTAAGTTTTGAGTGAAAGCGTTGTTTGATTTGTACGTGTGAACGTACACATATGCTACAAGTGCTGACATATGCTTATGAATGTGTATAAAAGCATCGATAGTTATATATATATATATATATATATGTATGTGTGTATGTATGTATGTATGTATGTATGTATGTATGTATGTATGTATGTATGTATGTATGTATGTATGTATGTATATATGTATGTATGCATATATGTATGTATGTGTGTATGTATGTTTGTTTGTATGTATGTATGTATGTATGTATGTATGTATGTGTACATACACACAGATATGTGCATGCACGTGCATGTAATCATACACACACGTTCGCCCTCGAGGCGTGCGGATCGACGATCGAGAGTTTCGGACGTTTGGCTCGAGCGTGTTGAGACGCAGGGGCCGGCGCCCTTGAGACCGCCCCCTGGCAAAGCACCGCTCCCCATCCACGGCGTCCAGGACCCTTGTCTCGTCGAAGAAGACAAACTGCATAAGTATAAATTTCCGTTGGTCCTGGCGGATTGCCCGGATCGAAGTTGCCCCCCCCCTGGCGGCACCTCTGGCGCCGCGTGGGATCCAACTCCGATCCGAGAAATCCGTGCGGACTTCCATTGGTTTATCTCTGCAGCAGGCACATACGATAAGACGTATTGTTTTATGTTAGGCAGCACTGAGGGATATTTCGTGACATGCTCCCCAGCTGGTGATAAGTACCCATACCACACCAGAGCTGGCAAGCCACAAGTGCCTCGCTGTCACGCCGCAGAGCGTGATCCCACAGTGGGTAGAACGCAGTCCCCCCCGATGAGAACTGAGCATGGGGCTCCGCAGCCCGACAGCAAGGAAACCCCCCTCGCCCTGGCGACTCCTGGCCAGGCGCAGGCCAGAAACAGCAGATCCTGATCACAGTGGGGAAACCGGTGGATTGCAAAAAAAAAAAAAAAGGATTGCAAAAAAAGCCCAGGATTGCAAAAAAAGCCCAGGATAGCAAAAAAAAAAAAAAAAAAAAAAAAAAAAACAGGATTGCAAAAAAAACATGTTTTTCTGCAATCCAGAATTTGGATAGACTCCCTTAGCCCCCCGGCGACTCTCTCATTGAATCTTGCAGTGGCCTTCGGCCAGTGCCGCCGATGCAGGTCGCGTGGGGTGCCCCCCAGAACTGGGCGGCGACACTTCGCAGACAGACACGCACGCACACGCTCGCAGACATTACGCGCACACACACACACACACGCACACACACGCATTAGCCCCCCGGCGACTCTCTGGTTGAATATTCTAAGCATGTACATGCTAAACCGCTCCGTGCGCTCACTGTGATCTTCGTCGGTCCGCGGGCGCAGGACAGAAGGCCTGCGCAGATTGCCCCAGATGCCTTCAGGACCCAGGAGCAGGTCGGCCTCGTCGTCATGCCACTCGACTGCGCCGAAGGACCGCATGACGTCCGCGGCCCCAGAGTCCTCGCAAGCGTCCACGAGCGCCACGCCGAAAGCCGCAAGCCAGAACAATTCCAGATGGGCGTGTGAAACTCTGAGAATCTCGTCGACGCAGGCGATGGGCAATCAGACCTGCAAGGGGGACCGCAGCATGTCCCGAAATGGGAGGTGTACCTCCGACCTCGTGCCATATCTCCGCGGCGATAGAGCACACGTACCCGAACTCACCGAAGCAGCGCTTCCTGCTTCAACCAGCGTCAACGGTGCAGTGTTAGGGGCCACAGGGGCCACGCAATCAATGTCAACTATGGGTAGAACAGCGAGACGATGAAGCAGAAGTATGTCACGAGGTACCTGGTGGGGGCGGATGAGCTGAAGGAGATGCGCACTCGCTTACATCCGCTCCGCACGCCCTGCAGCCAGCTGCCCGCGGCGCCAGAGGCGCGCGCTCGGGCCACGTGCCCGCGATAGTCGATGGGCCACACATGCCGGCGGGCGGCCCGCGCACGGGGCCAGGCAAATGGCCGCCGTCATCGGGGGGGCGCTGCGGCGAGTGATCTCATCGCAACTCGGCGAGAACCATCCCCAGGCCGCAGGGCCTCCAGCTTGAGCCAGAGTGGCCTAATACGATAAGAAGTCGTGCTATAAGAGATTTGGGGGCACATTCGTCGTGGATCTTTGAAGGTCCTGAAGTGCCCCCAAGCTTCTGCGGGTCACTGGGGCCTCCAGGGGGTAAGAAACCTTCGCGGGACACCTACTGGCCGGCCGATCTATTAGTTGATGTGCCCATTGTATGCCGTTGCTCTCCTTCCATCTCTTGCGCCCCCTGCCTTCCCTCTGGCCCTGCCTTCCCTCGGGCACCGCCACACGTGCTCTTGTCTTTTCACTGTTGTCTCACCCATCTTCCCATCTTGCACTGTCCTTCACTGCCTTCTGTCATCATATGTTGTTCATTATTGCTGCGGCCCGGCGCAATGCCGGAGCAGGCGGGCCCCCCCTCCTGCCTCCAAGGGCCGTCGCATCGCATCGCATCGCATCGCATCGCATCGCATCTCCTCCTCACCCGCCACCGTGCACGCGCGGCCGGCACCGCAGAGCCCGAGGCTGGGTGCCGCGCCCCCCTGGGAGAAAAGGCCGCCCCTGTCGCTGCCCGCCTCGCGCACCCGGCCGCCGTCCGGGTCCCGTTGTCCGAGCCCAGACCTCCAACGTCTCGAGGGATTCCACGCGGACGCTTTTTTCGGTTTTCGGCATCTGCGGGGCCTTGGCTGGGCCGCAAGACTCTCAAAAGGTGGCTCAGGACGAAGAGCCGGCCCGGGGAAAAAGGTCCAGACCTCTCGAGAGCCCGCGTTGACGAGCTCAACACATTGGATGTCTGGGACGGGCGTGTGCCTCCGTCACGAATGCTAACGTCGCCCCACCGACTCCAGAAAGACGGAATTCGTGACGGTGTCTTGCGACAGGGCACTGTGCAGAGAAAGGGGGGAGGACGGCGACGAGGGCGAGGGGGATTCTATTATATTGCGAAGGCCTTACGGCCAGTGCCGCCGACCCTGAAGATGAGAACGCTGACCACGACGAGGTAGAAGCAGGAGGGGTAGGACGAGCAGGGGGA